TTTTTTTCTATAATAAACTACTAAAAATTGTTGAACATTTTCTATGAAATAAAATCAATTTTTACATTAAAACTTTACAGGGGTGACAATACTGACAATTCAACTTTTTGAAAGGTATATGCTAACTAGGCAGGACAAAATAATGTAAAGCAGGAGTTAAAAAACAATTTTAGAATTAAATTATAGAATCATTATATTTTCCATMTAATAATCTGATATAAGTACCTACTTTGAATATTGTATATAGATTATAGATACCTGATAACACTAAGTTAGTACTTAAATTATTTATAGACACTATATTGCTCCTAGAAAACACTATGTATAAAACAAATCATGAAATTATTTGATTATTTGATGTAATTATATAACATTAATTATCATAAAAATTATTGATTAATACTATTTTAGTCATAAAATGAATTCGTCATGAATTACTCCGTATTTTTATAATAGTTGATAGACGAATAGAATATTATTAGATACATATTGCAAATTGCTTACAAGCTATTTTTAGCAAATGGGTCAAATCAAAAAGCTCTATAGGTACCTAATATAGTACAGATAAGCACTGGGGTGGACTGCACGTCTGCACGCAATATTAGGTACTGTCAGTCGGTACCTATTATATGTCCCATTAGTCTTAAATGTTTTAATATTATAAACAGAGTATTATAATAATTATGTATTTTGTATTCACCAATAACATATGAAATCTGTTAAAATTTTAATAAATCATATAAAGTTTTCAAATATTGATTATTATATAGGTTTGTTACTTAGCGCTGTGAAGCATTTACAATTAAAGCATCCTATTTTTAGAGATTTAGTTGTGCCTATGTTTATACATTTTATTAATCATCATATAATCTAATGCACCCATGTTATTGTTAATTCGTCATTTTCTGTTTCGGATTTGTTAAACGCAGATACAATATCGTGAAACGGAACGACAAGTGTGTACACGCGTACTATCTGAGTTGTTATGACCATATGACCAAAGAAGAGAAAACTTTTTTCTCGAATAACTTGCCTACGTTTGATGACCCTCATTTCTGTACCATTGACCGGGCTTACAAGAGAGGTTTGTTAACACATTAAATTATAGTATTACCTATTATATGAATAATAGAAAAAAAACTCCTAACATTATAATCTTTTATATTATATCATATTTTAATACTACCTAACTGACACCTTTCCGGGGGGAGGAGGCCCAATTAAAATGTATTAACTATATTATTATAATTATATTGATAATGGATGGAATATTAATAGATATGATGGACCTAGGGTTAGGTTAGTTGCGAGTATAAAATACAAACTAAACTAGCTCATTAATCATTTTATTCACAATACTACTAACAACAATAACACTTTGAAYGAATAATTCTATCGTTACCTAGCCCAATACATATAATGTAAGTAAAACGTATAGAAGTTTCAAAAAGATAATTTATCCATGATTTTCTATAATATTTCTGTTGTAAGTGCCTACGATAAAAGATATGATAAATCGTTAGTAATACATCTTATGTAATATTACCTTATTAAGCCTGCTCAATTAAATGTTGTTATCGTTGTCAGAATTCAAAAAACACATAGCTTGTGCAAACGAACTGGCCAAATCCAAACATAAGTTAGAAGTACCATACAAGCAGTGGCAGAATTATGTGGAAGAGCAAAAGTTGCAATATGAACGGAAAAAACAGGAGGAGCTGGAAAATGATCAGATAAAGSACATTGTAAACTTGCATTTTTGGCGTGAGCAAGACCCAAAAAAATGCCAGTGAGTTTTAGTTTAGTGTGTATATTATAATTATTGGTTTTATTATTGTTCCTTCGAGTTTCCTTAGAACTCATAGTGATCGTATTATGTGCAAGTCAATTATTAAGGTAGGTATTAGGTTTTATGGAGAGAATCACGGTGTATAATTTAAATTTTCAAGGTCTTTAAAGGTTTTATAATGTTTATTATTCAGGTCCTTTCTTGAGTATGGTTCCGTCGCTCCTKGTATTCTTACTCAATGGTATACTGTCAATGAATGAAACGTGTCCATCAGCGTACATTTCTCAGCTTCGGCGGGTTCAAGTTTAATATATCTTGTATCCTCTTCATCATGGCTATATGACCCAGTACTTCAAAACGTAAATCTCCTATCTCATCTCCTTTCTGACCGATAGCCGTCTTATTTGTCCTTGATCTTCGTTTAGAATCTTATCTGTGAAAAATTGATTCTCCTTCTCTCCTTCAACACGTTAACTTAAGAGTTCCTGTGCGTCCTACCTATAACACGGCTCAGTTCGCTTTACCCTACTCAAATCACTACTAATTACTAATTAGGTACTAGAATAATTAACCTGTTACTCACTGTATGAGACAGGATCAATCTAGACCCCTCTTTTTTCCTACTTTACTTGATTATATATTTATATGTTATACTTTCATCAAACCACAAGCAACACTATTATTTTTTCTCCTATAGGTACATTAATGATTTTTAGCAAAATATAAATGCTAAATACTGTAATACRTTTTAATTGAAATTCTACCCTTCATGTTGAATTAATTTTAAAAAAATATTGGGATAATACCAAGGCATATGTTTTCCTAGGTCACACAATCGATATTTTTATTTAACATATTTTCAATTTGTTTAGATATATCAAGGAGTTCATGCGGTTGGAATACATGCAAATGCGTTCAAGATGTGGATTAAAGGCAGAAAAATTTTTCCGCGAACTGCTCGGCAACATATGGCCCTTTTCAGCGATGGCGGTCAGTATACCTATAAGGCTATAACTATTAATAATTATTATTTATATCTATTTGGTACGCCCGAATCCAAAGGTTCTAAGCCCTATATACCCACATATATTATATTATACCTAAAGCAATAGATAAAAAGAGGAGATTAAGTTATTCCCACTGAAAAATTCACGGCTGCATATTAATATATTATATGATACCCTATTATACTAGGCACTAGCTGGTTAGTTTATGCTATAAGTAATGTATTTTGTATCCTTTAATGTTCATTAGTAATAGTTAGGTCGACTCTATATCTATCTATTAGTATTAGGTATTAAAAAAGTCATGTAAATAAGCTCAACATAATTTATCAAAGCATGTTGGTATTATGCCTTAAAATAATTAAATATCACATAATATATAGTGCTATATAAATTTCATTATTTTTATTTATTATTCATTCAAAATTTATTTTAAATTGTTACATTATTATAATCTATTTTATTACATTTTCTTTGAAAACTGAAATAAAATTATATGTACAATAAACAAAAAAAAAATAAAAAAAATAACTACAAAATATAAAATACAAAACATACATTTAAAGGCTATGAGTGATTAAAAAAYATGCAAAGTAAAATTGTAAGTAGATAATTGCTGATATGTCATACCAAATTGATTTATAATAAATTGTTCTGYAATGTGCATCAGAGTATGACTAAAAAAAATTATGCAAAATTCATTAACATTCTAACCCTAGTGGTATTCACTCTAAACTAACTTTTATTTGATTTCAGAAAATCTGCGACAGCGATTTATCACACTATGAAACATGATGTGTTATTCAGTCTATCCTAATCTTCGGCTCATCGACGTGGGCTGTAAGCCACTGCTTTTTAAAATTATATATAATTGCGTTCATGCGTTGTAGTTTATTAATTTACATTTACACATTATAAATTGTTGTGCTTAATAAAATAATATAATACACTTGAAAATATGCTGACTATAATTTGTTAAGATAATATTGAAGCKGTGACCAGTGGACTGAAATATACCTACTTAGCAAATCAAAATCTGCAACAACCACTTTACCATCTCGTATTCTCATTTATTATGTCTCCTATCCAATCTAATTGTTTTCCTAGTTATTTTGTTTTACTATAAATGCCACTTTGTGACATTTTTTTTCATTAATGACAGATTTTGTTTTCGCTTATATTTTTTTCTAATATTTTCTGTTTTTAAAATATAAAAATTTTCTGAATGAGCCACTTTGTGCTAAGTTTTTATTTTTTGTTAAACTAATATAAATACTGTTAGTAGAGCATAATTAAAAAATTGTTTAGTATACTTTGAGCTAACAATAATTATTAACCCCGGTAAAAAGGTTTAGAGAGGCGGATGACACATGCAGGAGGGACTTAATATCTATTAGTCAGCAATATATTATTGTAAATGTTATTTTAATGTTTATAAAATCTATATTATATGACAATATGCCTTCCTGTTACCCCCAGACCTTTTTTCACCATAGTAATTATTGTTAGTTTAAAATATACTTAACAATTTTCAACTATGTAA